CCCTGCCCTAGAGGGCTTTACTCCCTCTCCTGCTCCCAGCCCAAAATGAAATCCGCAGGTTCCCAAAGAGACAGGCATCCTTCCTAAGGATTATTAAAAAAAAAAAAAAAAAAAAAAATCCCAGGGAAAATGATGAATTTGGGTAGTTAATTTATCGATCTTGGCTCCTCTTCCCACTTGTTTTATTTTAGAGGTCATTAATCAATGAAGAAAAACACCACCGTGTTCCCCCTTTGCATTTAATACACTTACCCTCCTTATTTATTTCTTTTGAGTATATTCCTAGCAAATTTTTGCCAATCGATTCGGAGGCGATGGATTTCTATAAAGGTTTGATCGCCTTCTAAACGGTCAGTGTGATTTGTATCAGTGCCCGTCCTCTAAATAATTGGGGGGAAAAAAAGCGTCAAGAAGAAGAAAAAAACTCTCATTTTCTGCATCTCGACCCACTGTAGCCACATCGGGGCGGGGATATTAACAAATAAGGGGCGCTACGGAGCGAAGTCGAGGAGAGGCCCGGGGGCCCCGGCCCCACAGCCCGGGACGCTGCTCTCTGCTCCGATCGCTGCAGGGGGAAGGGAAAAGAAAAACCCAAGCGACCCTTTTCTTTATTTGTTTGTTTTGTTTATTTGCCGTTACAGAATAAATCCCGCCTAATATGAACCCGCATGGAATATTTCTGTTAACAACTCCAGGCAAATGCGGATATTGACAATACACTTAAGCCCATTAGCTGGGAGCTTTCCCCCACTTCATCACGATTTTTTTTTCCGTCGTGAAACGAATTTTTAGAGACTGCTGCCACTAAAAACAAATTGGTATTTTTAAAAGATGTCCGGTGGCGAAAACGATAATAATTTAGAGATGCAAATAATGCAAATAATTATATGTATATATGTATATATGTGTATATATATATATATAAAAAAAACCAAACGAGGCGTTGCAATAAAAGCGTGAGCGGAAAAGAACTAAGGATGGATGAGATACTGAATTAATGCAGTGAAAATGGAGAAAGGGGAAACCTTTATGTGCCGCTCCGTATATCCGTGTATCCCTTGGCGTTTCGTACAGACTCTGCTCCCAAACTACAGCTCCGTCCCGCAGCTAAAGTCGCAGCGTTTCACAACTTCTAAAAGTGGATTAGTAGAGCGTGAGGACTGAAAATTCATTATATCTGACACACTAGAATTGATCAAAGACATTAAGAAGGTTTTTATAGCTAGCTTTATAAGCCGTAAAAAAATCTTTTTTCCCCTATGTGTGTTTGCCTTTAGCTTAGGTGTTATCAATCTATACAGCGGATGACGGATGACCTTGTCAAAAAGACGCCAGTCAAAACATTTTTTTTTGCCCCAGCTCGGTTGAAATTTGTGTTAAAATGTCCTGCCTTAGACGGAGACAGAACCTAAACAGCAGCCGCTTTCCCAGGCTCCGTGAGGACGGAGGGTGGGAAGGGAGTAGCTGGGAAGCGAGCGGGGGCAGCGGCACCAAACGCGCACACGTTGCGCGCGGCGCCCACCCGGCCGGGGTGGGTTTCCCGCAAGCAAGACGCGTTTTGACGCTGTAGGCACTTGGTGTGAACGCATTGTCCCGAAAGCACAAGAAACTCTACACATGTGGTGTCTGTAAGGCGAGGGTAGCGCTCGCGGCGTTTTCCCCGAGACGCGAAGCGGAACCTGCTCGGTGCTCCCTGCGGGACGGCTTTTCCCCGCGGCCGGTGGAGGGAGGGGAAAGCTGAGCGGGCATCGGGAGAAGTAGCGGGAGTCGGGAAGTTTGCGGCTCCTGGCCTCGCGTCCCTGCGCAGCGCAGCGCGGCGGGGAGGCAGGACGGGGCTCTGAGTGCTGGGGGGGCCAGCTCCCGGGAGCTGCGTGGGGAGCCGCGTGGGGAGCGCGCGGGGCCCGCGTGGGGAGCGCGGGGCGCGAAGGGCTCCGCCGAGGGCTCCTCGTAGGCTGCGCTGCGGCGCAGCCCTGCGCCTGGGGGGCACCTTTAAAACCTGAGCACGGAACAAAGTGGGGGAGGCTGCCAAAAAAGAAGAAAAAAAAAGGGGGTGGGGAGGGCTCTGCGTTCGCTGGTAACGTCCCGCTGCCTCCCCGCCCTCCCGCAGACACCGCACACACTTGTATTTTGCGCTGTCGTAAAACCCACGTGTCCAGCCCGGAGCCTGCCAGAGCGCGGAGCGCGGAGCCCGGGGATGCGCGGCCCGCGCGCACGGAGCCCCGCGCCGCGCAGCTGAGCGGCTCCCGCGCCCCCACGAGAAGCTCCCCGGCCCCGCGCCCCCGGCGTGGGCTCCCCGCGCAGCCGCCGGCCCCGCACTCCCTGCCCAGGTAAGGGGGCCGCGGGCTCCTTCTCCTCCTCCTCCTCCTCCTCTTAGCGAGCGGGAGGCGCGGAGTTCCGCGGCGCGCGCGGGATGAAGTGCCCTCCTCCTCCTCCTCCTCCACGCTGCGCACTTCGAGAGCGGAAAGGCGGGCCGGGCTGCGGGCACTGGGCAGTAGCCGAGGGGGCGTCCGGACCGGGCCTCTTTGCCCCGGCGCAGCCTGCGCTCCAGGAGAGGCTGTCGCCTCCCTAACGGGTCCCGGGGCTCCCGGACCAGCGGGTCCCGGGGAGGGCGGCGGGTCCGGGTGCTGCCGGGCAGCCTGGCCGGGGCGCGGGTCTCACGGGCGCTCTCGCCTTCCCTCCCTGCTCTGCAGGCCGCGGCGATGCTGAAGCCCGGCGATCCCGGCGGCTCCGCGTTCCTCAAGGTGGATCCCGCCTATCTGCAGCACTGGCAGCAGCTCTTCCCGCAGGGCGGCCCGCTCAAGAGCAGCGCGGCCCTCGCCCAGCTCCAGCCGCCCGAGCGCGCAGAGCCGGCGGCCGACGGCGCGCGCCAGCGCCCGGCCTCCCTCTCCTCCGCCTCCTCCTCCTCTTCCTCGTCCACCCCGTCCTCCTCCAGCTCCTCCTGCGC